TGAACCCGTTCTTGACCCAACTTACAGTACTTATCACGGTCGGAATCATTCTGCCGCTCTCGGCGAGCGCGCTGGAGATGTTGGCCCCTCCATTGACTGAATAGGTGGCGGTTCACTGACGGTCTTCATCTCAATATCGTCAATCAATCTGACCTGCATCTCCCGATGCTCCTGGCAAAGTGCACAGCAGTGTAATAGACAGTGCACAATAGCTGGGTCGCAAGGTTGGCTCTCTAACTGGTGCTATGGGCACGCTCAGAAGGCATGGATCTGGCCGGCAAACTGGCAGGGTTCATGCTGATTAACTTAGCACAAACATAACAGCAAAGGATTACTTTTTTGCCATTGACGACTGCTCACCTCTAACTGATATTTTCTCTGTATCTCGCTGCGTGGTCCTGCCATGTAGAGACCACAAAGCCACCAGAAGATGAAGGGAACCACAAGCTGCTGGAAGTGGAAGTATATAAGTGCTCCAATTGTGGTCGCAGCTCCTCCTTCAACACAGATGGCATGGCAGATGCAAGGCCCTGTCCACGGTGTGTGGTTCATCCTCTCCATATTCCTGCCAAACAGAACACAAGGGCAGAAGAGACCCATTTTGCCTCTCTTGAAAGTTGAAAGTCGCCAACTGAGTGAAACTTCAGCATGCTCCCTTTGACCAGCGCTAAACCGCAGCGCCTCACGAACAGGTACGACCCATCACCATCTCCGCTGCAGTCTCCTGGTCCGTTGTTCTGAGACACTCGCTCGCTGCGTGCTCTGCGGTCGCTTGCCCACTGCGCACCGTTCCCTCTGTTCGTCATACTCTTCTACTGGCCTGTTCCAATCCYGAGTCGAAGGGCTTGTGTGGACTTTGTACGCCAGGCACACAGTCCAGTCCGCGCTGCTCCTCCATGCTTGCTTCTCTTCCCTTCCCTCTCAACTGAGCTTTCCCCCTCTGATCAGTGCTTTGCCGCGGTGCTCTCCAGGCACACCTCTCTTCTCTGGTACAAAACTTGTCTCCTGGTGTACACCGGACACATTCTCTCCCCCGCGGTGCAGAACATGTCTCTCTCCCGCGGTGTACGTCTTGGACAACTTCCACTCACTCTGTACACCTTGCACAACTCCCCTTTGTCTTATGTCCCTCTTCCCTATATGGTTCCCTGATCCAGCCCAGCGTGGACTTCGGCCCAGTCCCCACCCGTAGGCCTTCGTAGACTAGAGGTACAAAACAGGTTTAAGGTCCCAGACCCAGCGCCAGTGCAGCGGGACCCATATAGAACCCCAACGGCCTGGATTTACTAGTGGACCAGTTCAAGTGGCCCAACTTTTACTAGTGGCTCAGCACTCTTCCTTTCACTGAAAATAATACAGTGGCGTGCACCATACTGATGCCGACCCAGGGAATCCATACCATCACCGAACCTGAAAAATAATACAGTGGCGTGCACCATACCGCTCCCGAACCAGGGAATCCATACCATCACCGAACCTGAAAAATAATACAGTGGCGTGCACCATACCGCTCCCGAACCAGGGAATCCATACCATAACCGAACCTGAAAAATAATACAGTGGCTTGCACCATACCGCTCCCGAACCAGGGTACCATCACCGAATCCTGAAAATAAACTGCCGCCAAGGTTCCAAATCTGGGAAAACCGTCGTAGTAGTCCCGGTCCTGAAAATAAGTCACCGTATTGAAACAACTACCACCGGGACCATACCGCGCCTGAGTCACACCAGACACCGTAGGACGTAGGCTCTCCGCCAACCCAAGGAAAGCGACCCAGGGAATCCTGACCATCGGCGGCAGTGAGAATTATCAGAATCCGGGAAAAACGTTCAATATGGGTTCAGA